GAAAAGGTACAATAACGAAACCGAAACCCAGACCGGGCGCCCTGTCTTTGCGTATGAAGTACTATTTGGTAAGAACCGGAGGTCGCATACTGGTTCCGCCGACGCGGAGTATGAAAACTGTGAAAGCCAGACCAGCGATCGCCATCTTATACACCCTGTGATACACCCTTCCCCTTTGTGCATTTTCTGTCAACAAAGAGCTAACCTGGACCATATCATGTGGGGGTGTACTCGAAACCCACCACCCAATTCTCTACACATTAATAGTAAGCAGCAGTGGGAGGCTGCTATGTGCAGCTCGGCGCCCGAGGTCCAGGACCATATCTTGGATTGGGCCAAGAGGGTAGCGGACACCTACGCTGGGTAGGCTCCTCTGACACTCCACCACCGCACCTTTCTCTCTTGGGATGAATAAAGTTTTTCTCCTCCTCCTCCAGACCAGCTGAAGCGCTGGTCAGACACCGCAGAGGGAGGAACAAAGGTCTCCTGTGTTATACCCGCGCTAAACACCGTTGCATTCGCCTTGTGACTAGCTCAATAAAAGGTGTAGTGGCTAAAGTAGCGATGCATCGGCTGCGTCACTTCCGTTGACCTGCCAAACATGACGTCATAAAGACAGTGCTGCCAATGATTCTCACAAGCGAGGTGAGCTTTTCAAGGCAATCATTAAAATTCATTTGCAAACAATCAGCGCACACCTTAAAGCTTGTAACTTGGCATAAATGATGAAAATGTGCAAAGGAACATGTCCAACGAATTTCTTTGAGATCCATAGACATCCAAGTATTGGCGGAGTTGGCCTTTACGCCGTGGGTCGTGAGTCCACAATGTAGTAGTAGCAGTAGTAGTAGTAGTAGTAGTAGTAGTAGTAGTAGTAGTAGTAGTAGATGTAGTAAGTAGCCACCTCCACGGCCGGACTAGAGAAGCGGCCCTCGCGAACTCTTCTCAATTGAGAAGAAAACCCGCACATGTTAATCATGAATAAAGAGATAATTGTTTCTGATGAAATACCCTGCAGAGACGAGTATCGGTGACTTGACCTCTAATAAAATTTGCCTTGAGTTGATGCTTACTTAAACAAAAAACTAGTAACAAAAGGACGTACTTTGAGCACTCTCTGACCGGAAAAGGTTACCACGTTAAACTCGCTGGGCGTAACCTCTTTGGTTTTCGCTAGGTTTGCATTCTGCAACAGCGGGACGCCTTTGTGCTCTCCGATAGTAGAGTACCAAGTACTCTAAATCGTTAACCGCTTTTTCTAAACAGGTTTAGTGAGGGTTTGGCCACAGTGCCATGAACTAGAGGCGGTGCAAGGTGGGAACTAGACACGGAGCGCATGCCGTAAGAAAGTGCGCGCGTGCCGCTCCTCTAGTCCAGCCGTGCCCCCTCTCGTTTAGTCCTTGGAATATCCGCAGGATGGCGGTACTTCTATATGATGAATATATGATGAAAACATGCGACTATGGTGGTACTTGAAGTGTTCACTAGATGGACGTTCGGATAGACGGGACGGAAGGACAGACAGACAGATGCATGGACGAACGCACGGTAGGACGGACGGGCGCATGAATGGACGGACGCACGGACGAATGGACACACAAACGAAAGGACGCATGGGTGGACGCGCGGACGGATGGATGGACGCAGGGACGGACAGATGAACACACATACGAACGAACAGACGCACAGACGGATGGACGCAGGAACTGACGCACGGACAGACGGAAGCAAAAAAAAACGGATGGAGGGAAGTGCGGGCGGACTGACGGCTCTTCGCTCCACTTATCATCAAGTACTCCGTGGATATGCTGTGAGTTATTTATTTATTAGCTATGCCCTCGTCGATATTGTGATAGGGAAAGACGTAGTTTAGGTACTGGAGTACTGGAGAAGGTGGAAGCTCCTTTCCCCTGAAGGACACTGCACGTTGCTACCTTATGGACGACAGCCCTTCCCAATGTCACAGCATCTTGACTCGACGTACCATTTGCCTTCATTCAATCATCAGTAGCAACTTGTCACGCCCGCTATAAGACGCAATTGCAAACGTCCTCTTGATTCCAGTAGTTGCAGGTCGGGGATATTGTCACTTTTTTCCCACTGTCACAAGCGCACCCTGATACGGCAGCTGTTTACCTGCTCACCTGTGCTGTAGAAAATGACGTGACACAAACGTTCAGTATCTCTGTAAATAATGTTTATAGAGGTTCGTACAGAGTGACCACGAGTTCGATTAAATCGAGTTTGCACCTCATGGGCTCCTCGTTCTCTATCGTTTTAACGCGATAGCGTTAAAGAGCTCGTGTCGCAGAAAACCCGCTGCCGGCGTCGGCCCAGTTGGTTGTGAGCCAAAAATCGTCTGTGAGTCTGTGACCGAAAAATCAAGTTACCGAGATAGCCGCGGAAGCCGTTACTTGTCCACGCGTGCGCGCGTGATCACACTGAAAAAGCCGCGCGTTCAAAGAAAACGAAAAGTGCTCAGGGTCACGAGGCACGGTAGTTTCTTTGCCCGCCACCCCTCCCTGCTTAGCTTCCAGCAGCTTTCGTCGGGACGAGAGAAGAGGTAATGCAATTGCAGCATGCGACAAACCTTTGTAACTCTACTCGCACTGGACAGATTCCTAAAATTTTTGCGGCGTTGAGTTCGTGAGGCAATAAGCTCTTTTAGTGAAATCATTCGATGGTTACTTGAAAAAGTGTTTCAGGCCCCTTTTAACGCATTTTGTTCGACAGGTGTCACGACGAAAACGAGCCCATTTGGTGATAATAGCGTGCGCTGATCCAATCTACTGTGTGCTCGTTTGCGTGCGTGCATGTGTATGTAACAAAACATATAATAAGTATCCACTTAGCGGTTGAAAGGTGCCGAATTTCGCTATCGCGTTCAACTCCTAAAGTTGAAGCTTAAGGGTCTCCCAATTTTTGTTCGTCTTTTTGGCTCGATCACCGTCATGAATTCTAGCCTCCGCAGATATGCCGCAGAGAATACGAAGGATTGGAAGTACACAAGTGATACCTCACATGCATAATATTTTTCACAGCATAAGGGAAGTAGCTAAGATGGAAGGTATGAGCGTGATTTCTTTTCAGGGGCGAAGCTCCTTATGCCGTGGCTCGTGCGTCCGCGATGTATGTAGTAGTAGTAGTCGTGTTTGTATTCGTAGTAGTAAGTAGCTACCTGCACGGTCGGACTAGAGGAGCGGCACGCGTGCACTTTATTGAATTGAGAAGGAAACCGGCACACGTTAATCATGAACAAAGAGATAGTTGTTCCTGATGAAATAACCAACAGAACGGAGCATCGGTGAATTATTCTCCAATAAAATTTGCCTTTAATTTGATGCTTAATAAAAAATGTAGTAACAGAAGGACGTACTTTGAGCACTCTCTGAGCGGAAAAGGTTGCCACGTTAAACTCACTGGGTGTAGCCTCCTTGGTTTTCGCTAGGTTTAGCGAATGTTTGGCTGCAGTGCCATGAACTAGAGGCGGTGAAAGAGGGGAACTAGACAAGAAGCGCATGCCGTAAGAAAGTGCGCGCGTGCCGCTCCTCTAGTCCGGCTGTGCCACCTCTTATTTAGTCCATTGAATGTCCGCTGGATGGCGGAACTGTTTATGCGATGAATATATGATGAATAGATGCGAGATGGCGGTACTTGGAGTGTTTTCTAGACAGACAGACAGACAGACAGACAGACAGACAGACAGACAGACAGACAGACAGACAGACAGACAGACAGACAGACAGACAGACAGACAGACAGACAGACAGACAGACAGACAGACAGACAGACAAAGAAATTCATAGACGGATGGATGGACGCACGTACGTACGTATGGACGGAAGAACGGGAAGCATGAAATGACGGACGAATGCACGGACGGATGCACGGACGGACGGACGGACGCGCGGAAGGACTGATGGAAGCTTTACCCCACTCATCATGATACACTCCGTGGATATGTTGTGATTATTTCCTTGTGTGTGAGGATAAGTAACGTGCGATTAGACTGTGTGAGGCTTGTGTATGAGGATAGGACGTCCGTTCATCCGTACGTACGTGCGTTCGTCCGTTGGTCTGTCTGTCCGTCCGTGAGCTATACGAAATCGTCAACTATGTGAAAACTGCTAACACCATTTAGTGATATTTCCAAGGACATATACACAAGCCCCATCTATTGAGCAATTTATTAGCTGGAGGACATACTACTACTACTACTACTACTACTACAACTACTACTACTACTACTATAACTACTAATACTACTACTGCAGAGGAGGGAACGATCTACATCATAAGCAGCATCGCCTATAAAAAGGCTTGTGAAGTTAAGCGTATGAAACCATTTGTTGAGTGTAAGACTCATGCCACTGGCCTGTGGCAAGGTTTATATAAGGCAGGCGGGAAGATGTGTAAATTAGTGGTTTGAAGAACACAATACATCTTTGAGCGGGGACCTGGAAAGTAATTGAGTTGTCTATATCTGCACAAGCATGACATTCAAATCTCGTAAGCCGATGTTCGATCGCGCGAACATTTTGGGTGAAAGGCAGGATACTGGGAAAGATTTTAGAAGCGTTTCACATCGCAAGTCGTAAATATAATTCTCTCAAAGATACTTACTTGTCTATAACGTCTAAAGAGTATTCCTACTTAGAGGAAAAAATAAGATTGAACTGCCACGTGTCGTGGGAACTGACGGCAATGCAAATGCGTAGAAGTATTGTGCAGCAATAGAGCATGAAGTAAAGTACAGCGTTAGTCCGTGTGGTACGCCTTATTTTTGCGAACGTGTTTATTTGTCTTCACTGACACCCCGTTTTGAAGTTCACTTCACAATTGCCCACAAGAAGCGCGCTTTTGGTGCGTAGAAATAGTCTCACCACAGGTGCCACCTTGAGCTCCACCGCCTCTGCAACGGTGCGCTTGCGCCAAACCCCTTGGATGAGATCCTTACGGTGGCAGAAACTGTATCGCGCTGTCTTTTTTTTCTCTCGCAGGGCTCGTGATAGGTGTGAATCAACCTCACCGGGTCGTCACCGCCTTTCGTGACGTCATCGAGTACGCCAACCAACAAGCACCTGGTGACAGATACAAGATAACGCCACTGACAACGAGGGTTTTCGACAACGATACATTCAACGTCACCAATGATGGTAATGCCGAAAAAGATTGCCGATTACATGCGAAGGACATTTTTACCCTGCTCTGTGGAATTCTATTTTGATTGAGTGATATGTGGCGTTTAGCGCCTCAAAACCAGGATATCATTTTGAGAGACGCCGTAGTGGAGGACTCCGGAAATTTCGAACACCTGGGGTTCTGTAACGACAGCATTTTTCACTTGCATTTAAAATGCAGCCGCTACCTCCGGGATTCATTCCCGTGACCTGCGGGTCAGTGTCAGAGTACCTTAGCCACTATACACCACCTTGGCGAGGCTGTATTTGATTCTTATTTTGAATGCTACGCATCTGCTGTACTTGAAGACATTAGAGTTTCCTAAATTGAAAAGATGGGCCTCTGGCACTGCGATAGTTAACCCACCATAAGAATCATGGTTAGCGGCATAACTTTGCCCAGTTTTCTTGCTTTCGGGCATCGAACACATGACTAGCTTATTTTATTGTTGTGTTTCGCTTTTCTTTCGAATAAAAGAACACACTACTGGGGACTTCATGATCCGATTTGAATTGGTGACCCTAAGAGGTTAAGGTGGTAAAGTGCAACTGCTGAACATTTACTGATTCTCGTCTAGTGACAAAGCGGCTCCAAGACTCGCCAAGCCAAGCGAAGCCGAAAGAACAAAGATTAGACAAATTTCTGTACTAGCTATCATTGGCATGCTGGCTCAAGTACCATGCGTTGCAGCTCGCACAGACACTGAGATCGTAGCGGGAAGTTGATTGCCCGAGAAACTTAAATTTATTCAAGACCCGCCATGGCGGCTAAGGCACTCGGCTGCCGACCCGAAATTCACGCGTTTGAATCCCGACGGCCGGATTTTCAATAGGTGAAAATGCTTGAAGCCTGCGTGCCTATAGATTCAGGTGCACGTTAAGTAACCCCAGGTGGTCGGAATTCCAGGAGCCCTCCACTAAAGCGCCTCTCATATCGTATGGTTGTTTCAGGGACATCAAATTTCCAACAATATTATACACAGGGTGTCCCAGGTAACTTTTTCAGCAGTTGAAAGTATAACGGCACACGCAATTACGACGCGACCAAATGCCTGTTGCTCAACGTTGTCTGGAGTTAGTCAGACTACTTTTTGTGTTCTCAACTATTGTTTGATTAGATCTGTTTTATTGACTGAATTTTCAAGCAACGAAGATGAATAAAACATTTCAATGAGAAAGTCGTCGATCGGTTTGCAAAGCGTCCGGATAGACAGTTTTGAACTTTATATCGTTTAGGTATGTTTTTCTGCTAATTACAAATGCCCGTGAAAGTACAAAAATTACCACGTGACAAACCCGCTAGCGCGTCAGTGCGCACGATGATTTTAGTGCTCCCTAACGTTCTGCGTAAGAACGACCATATTATTTGCCCCATTTTGCTGTCTCGGCAGGGATGCAAAGATGGTGGCGGCTTTACGATGAACGCGTTTCGCTATCGGCCACAAAAACAATAACCGCTGTTACTGCTTATCGCTGTCATAAACTGGGGCGAGGGAAGCGTGTCGTTCGTACGCGGAACGGTAGGGGGCACTAGAATCATCGTGCGCACTGACGCGCTAGCGGGTTTGTCACGTGGTATATTTTGGAATTTGGTGGCCATTTGTAATTAGCAGAAAAACGCTAATACTTAACAAATATAAAGTTCAAAACTCTCTATTCCGATGTCTTGCAAACCATTCTACAACTTCCTCATTGAAATTTTTTCTTCCTCATTGAAATCTTCGTTCTTTGAAAAGTTTGTTAATTAAAAGATCTAATTAGACAATATTCGAGAACCAAAAAATAGTCTGATTAACTCCAGGCAATGGTTAGCAACATGCCTTTCGCCGCGTCTTAATTGCATGTGTCGGCATATTTTTTAACTCTGACTAAAGTTACTTGGGACTCCTTGTAATATTCAAGACGTTAACTCTGATGAAGTGTCTGAATAGCTGGGTGACGATCAGTCGTGATAGAGCTTGACGATGATAACTTTTGTGGAAATCTGCTTGTAATTTCATAAGAGAGAATAAAGGGCTGAGTAAAAAACATAAATGACCTTACATATGCCATAGAACTCATAAAAGTTTTTTTTTATTTTGGCAAAGCAATTAGCGACATGCTTACGCACATTTCACTTATTTTCCAGCTCTTTTATGCCTCAATAAACACCTCTTTTGTCGTGAGGTTTCTACTTTTGTCAACAAACCTGCACGTGTTGATTTTCTGAATTTGACGCCATTTTGAAAGTGACATATGTAAACTCTACACACGAATATGGGCTGATTAGATGGTGCTTTAATTAGCTGAGGATTGACAGCACTAAATTTGTTAAAAGTAGGAACTGCCCTTCGTATACATATATGTGTCTTTTTTGTCCATGTCCGGCGTGCGCTTTTGGTTTTCGAAAATGGATTACCAACATACGCAAACTGTTGGATTGGCGAATGCAGCCACATAGGAAGGAAGTAAAATAGGAAGAAAAGAACGGCAAGGAGGTTAACCAGCCTATAGGCAGCCTGGTTTGCTACCCTGCGCAGGGGAGGGGGAGATGGAATATAGAGAGGAGAGAGGGATGCAGCCACATATATTACCAATAAACTAAGGCGAACAGGCGATGCGTTTTGTTTGCGAGAGTTCCTTACCAAGGGCCATCGGATTGAAGCTCTGCATTGTATACGAAGGTCCGCCTCAATACAACAGTGGGTACGGTCCACGGCTGGTAACCCAAAGGTCGCGGCTTCGATACCAGCCCCGGCACCCGTGATAGAGGCCCGTGCACTGTGTGATGTCAGTGTATGTTAAATAACACCACATGGTGAAAATTTCTGCAGCCCTCCACGACGACGTCTTTCTTAATCATGTAGCGTGCTTTGGGGACGTAAAACCCCAAATAATATTATTTGCATACAAAATGTATGCGCTCGTAACAACACCCACTATCACTCGTCGTGGATCAACGCAAAATATCACAATGTGCAAGCTTGGTTTATTTATTTATTTTTTTCTATGCTTTCAACTTCAGCTTTGGAGTCATTACCGAGGGCATAATGTACATAATATTCAAGAACACGTAATAACAGTAAATCAGATGTCAATTCACTTAAATTATTGGTAGACAACAAAATACGAAACAAGAGCAGGGACTTCGTTTTATAGTGCAAATGAACAAGGAAATATTGGTACCAGAATTTTGACACAAGTCTACAAGATCACGCCTGTATTTAGTGCATCTTGAAATTCAGCCGAACAGTCATGTGTCAGGAAATTCGCAGCACAATATGTGCCAGGAAAGAGCGAAAAAACAGACAGAAACAAAAAGCGCAAATGTGAAAAGCAACAGATTATCCTGTGTGTGTGATGTCATAAGATCCGAACAAACTTCAGTGCCCAAATGAACAAAACGCACAGTTTTCTAGTAGCACATGCAGGAATTCGATGACTTGTGCAGTATTTCAGTGAACTAAGTATTTCAATGATACACTGAACAAACAGAGAAAAGTTTCTTCAATATACCAGATGAAAGGCAGGCCTGAACAAGCAATGTACTACAGAGCCACGAGCGAAAATGAAAGGGAATAAAAACAAAAGGTATGCGAAGCGTTTACGTATGTTGCGCATGGTTTCCAATTTTGAGCTGAATGCGATCAGTGTGTCTGCATTGGAAACATTTGCATTTTGTTTATTCATTCGTGTATTCTAAATGGTATAAACAATTTGAGAATGATTTTGAAAAACAATTTTTCAAATACGTTGCTGTTTGAGGAATATTCTTTCAAGCTGTACTTGTGCTTACGACTGTGAAATATAACTTACTTAGGCATATCTACCTGGTAGTGGACATGTAGCAACTCTTACAAGAACTTCAGGCGTGCCTCTTTTGCCCTAGTAATTAGTGTTTCAATGCCGGAAAAAGCCAGAAAGTTGGGGGGGGGGGGGGGGGGGTCTGCGCGATTAAAATTGTAGTGCCCATATAGCTTTGTATTGCCGTGCCTCTAGTTTACCAATGCTAGTTAGTAAATAAGGAAACCAAACTACGTTGGCATATTGTAGTACCGGTCTTACAAGTATGGTGTATGTGAACAGTTTTGGTTGCACAGGCGCATTTCTCAGACGCCTCTTTAGGTAGAAAAGTTTACGCAGTGCGGCTCCAGTGAAGTTCGCTATGTGTGTATCCCATCTCAGGACGGATGTTAATGTAATGCCTAGATACTAGTGCAGTACAACGTTTGTGAGCGATGAACCATGAATGGTGTAACTCAATTGTAAGGAATTAAGTTTACGTGTTACCACCATAGCAGCAGATTTCTCGCACAATAATAGACATTTGTCACTTATCGCACCAATCCGCAACCTTCATTAGACATTTGTTGAGGCTAATTTGGTTTGCCAAACTTTTTATCTCATTAAATATGCAGTCAAGTGCAAACAGCTTAATATTACACCTAATGTTTGACGTGAGGTCATTCATGACAATAAGGAATAATAGTGGTCCCAAGACTGAACCTTAAGCGACCCACAAGTCACAGGAACTGTATTTCATGTATGACCTTCATAAAACACGAACTGTGAGCGATCTGTTAGAAAACTTTTTATCCAAGAAAACTGTTATCCCTCTCCTATCATACTTTGAAGTTTACTAGTAGTTTGCTATGATATACACAATGAAATTGTTTAGAAAAAGCAAGTAATAATATGTTTGTTTGACCACAACTATTAATGGTAAAATCCCTCAACAACTTCATTCGCATTCGATCGCCTACTTACATTTACTAGGTCGTCGTCCTTCCTTTCCAGCAATTCATATGCGTGTTTTACGTTGACAAGGTCATCCTGGCAGAGACTAAGGCCCCTGTTCGAAAACCTATCCTATCTTTATCTCGCGCTTTGCTTATCCATTTGTGTTTTTAGTGGTTTCATAAACAAAGTTCGCAAGTATTCACAAATGCTTCTTGTATCTATCTTTCATCTTGTTACCATTCTTCAGTCCTTATAATGCACGTAGAGAGCACAGAAACTTAAGGAGAGCATAAGATAACGATGAGCTTGGTTTGTGAATATGGCCCTAACTCTCTGGTCTAGTCTTCATAAAGTGCCCGGCTTCTTATCCACATCGACGGGCCGCTTTTCCTTGATAAACTTAATATCTGCAGCGATTTCTTTTAACGCACTACCGATTATAACTTGCGTAGGTCCCGGTTTAGTTTCGATGTCTCCCTTTAGGAGCAGTAATCTTTGCAAAAACAGCATAACAGAATATGGAATACAAGAAAACCATGGGCACGGTAGCACAAGCAAAAAAGGGTCATGAGAGCGTATACAATTTCCGTATTTCTTCCTCACCTGCACAACAAAGATGAACGAATTGTCAGACGTCTGCATTCCTGAAGTGTCACTGTGCCCAAGAAGCGTCGAGTGCGCTGCACGAGCTGTTGTAGGTGAGTTGGGGGGTAATGCTCGGGGCTGATCATACACTGTCGGAATGAGGATGGGTAGCGGTAAGCGATGAGGCAACAGCTCCGATGACGTTCAGGGCGGGATGATTGGAGCATCGTAGTACGCCACACTCTGAGACTGCGGTCTAGTGCTCTCCCCGGATCGCAAGCTGCCCCCGCAGGATGCAAGAAGCAGGACGAGGGAAAACTGGACAAGAAATACGAACGGATTGTCAGACGTCCACATAACTGAAGTTCCACCGTGCCCAAGAAGGAAGCTTGGTTTGGCAACTGATTCACACTGTGGCAACTGTGGTTCTTTAGAATCGATTGAGCACCTTTTGTTAGATTGCCAAGCATACACGAAAGCAAGATCTCGTCTCCAAAGTAGAAAAGGCTCAACTTCTAAAGGACCTCTAGACCCCGGGAAAACGCTCAGACTTACTCCACCTTCTCAGCAAATTCATATTTTAAAATTTATGTTCAGATTGCCGGAGGGCATTAACCTAATTAATAAACTGTAGCGCTAACTTACATCATCATCACCATTACGCGAAGACATATCGCAATCGTAATGTGTCCTTTCTTTTTTTTTTCGTGCCCTCTTCCTATATATTTGATGTCCTCAATCCATGTCCCTTATTACCGAGTAGCATGTAGGCGCATTTGTATACTGCGGATGAGTTCTCTGTTTTTCATTAAAGGGCTTCCTCTCCCTCTTGCTCATCGTGGGTTGTGTGGGTGCGGTGTGTTGCAGCGTGCGCCCAGCTGAGCTCGGGCGCGGCGTTGCTCGTGTCTCCGGACGGCGGCACGGTGCTCGAGGCCCTGGCTGCCGTGTCGGCCCGTCTGCAGGTGCCGCTGCTCAGCGCGTCGGTGACCCGCAGCCCATCGTCCCACCTGACACGGTTCGACCTCACGCTTCGACCGCAAGCACACGGCACGCTTGCTGCACTCGTGCACGCTATGCGATGGCCGCGCTTCTACTACATCTACGACTCCGCAGAAGGTCAGGATTTTTCTTTCATTCTCAATTCATCGTGAAACGAGTACTGAATGAACGAGTGTGCCTTAGGCCGAAGCCAGCCCGGTTCTGTCGGGCCGAGGTGGAGTATAAAACATGTGTTTCACGGAATAGCTTGGTGTTCACTGCAGTATGCCGCAGCATTGCAAGGACAGCTTTGTGCTCACAAGGCGTCCCAAACCTCCAGTGATGGTATAATTACTTTAAAAAACAATAAAGCTGTCGAACCGCAGAAAGCGCTACCAACAAAAAAAATAAAGAAGGGGGAAGAGGTAGGTTCCCTATGAAAGAGGAAATAATGTTTCACTTACAACGATGGTAAAAGAAGACGAAGGCCACAGCGTGTTACACGTCGTTTATTTCCAAATTTTATATTCTGCTTCCTGGCTTATTCAGAACCATTGCTCAGTGAAGACACTTCTAACAAGAAACCAGATGCACTGTCGACCTGTGCCATGCTATTGCGCACAGCAATACGTCTGCTCTAACTCTGCCCTCCCTTTCACTGCAGCCAGAAAGCCAGAATATGAATATGACACGTAAGGTGTCGATGGTTGACGTCATTTTCGCGTTTAGACCCGCATGCCAGGGCATAATGTTGACATTGTACTGAAGTTGACGGAAGGCATTAGAGTAGCCTGCTGCTGAGAAATGGCATCATCATATCATCATCATCATCATCAGCCTGACTATGTTCACTGCAGGACAAAGGCATCTCGCATGTTCTGCCATTCAACTCTCCTGTGCTAGCTGCTGCGACTTTATACCGCAATTTCTTAGCCTAATCTGCCCCCCTAACTTTCTGTCTCCCCCTGTTTTCTCTGGAAATCCAGTTAGTTCCCCTAATGACCAGGGGTTATCCTGCCTACGCGCTATATGCTCGGCCCATGTCCTTTTCTTCTCCTTGATTTCAACTATGATATCTTTGACCCCAGTTTATTCCCTGATCCACACTGATTAGGTCTCTTTTTGTCCCTTATAGCTACACCTATCATTTTCCTTTCCATCGCTCGCTGCGTCGTCCTCAATTTAAGGTGAACCCTCTTTTGTAAGCCTCCAGGTTTCTGCTCCGTGAATAAGTACCGGCAATATGCAGCTGTTCTATACCTTCCCCATGAAGGATAGTGGCATTCTACCTGTCATAATTTGAGAGTGTTGACCAAATACGCTCCACTGCATTCTTATTCTACTAGTTAGTTCAATCTCGTGGTTCGGCTTACGCGGTTATTACCCGCCCTAAGTAGACGTAGTATTTCACAACTTGAATTTACTATTACTTAGCTGGAAGCGATGTTCTTTTCCGAGGTTGTTGTACATTACTGTATTTTTTGGCACATTAATTTTAAGACTAACCTTTCTTCTGCTCCTTGTCTAATTCAGTAATTATGAATTGCAATTCGTCCCCTGAGTTGCTCAGCAATGCAATGTCATTGGTGAAGCGCAGGTTACTTAGGTACTCTCTATTGACTCTTTTCTCTAACTCTTCCCATTCTAGGCCTTTCAAAACTTCCTGTAGGCAAGCGGTGATAGAGCGTCGAGGAGATTGTATCTCCTTGTCTTACAGCCATCTAGATTGGTACTCTGTCACTTTCCTTATGGAGCACGATAGTGGCAGTTAATTTGTGTAGAGTTCTTCCAGGATGTTTATATATGCTTCGTGGACGCCCTAGTTCTATAGTGTCTGCAAAAAAGACAAGTCAAGCGAGAGGAGCCGACTTTGAAAAGGCTACGCCTACACCGTTATAGTTGCATATTCTATTGCTTTCTTCTAAGCGCCTTGCATGACCAAATTCAAGTAACGCTCACTTGATCCTCACATCTGTATTGGCCTCGATGTTATCGCTCTGTTATTCAGGATTTAAAAAGAAAAAGCACGGACATGAAAATCTATAAGAGAGTAATTTGTTATCTTAAATGAAGGGAAGCAGTTTGTGCAGACTGTAAACAGCACAGAACTTCCGTGCCAAAAGTCCAGGATTAAAGAAATTGAGGTATTTTCAGATTGTTGCTCTAAATAAAAACAGTGGTGTTGAGAAGCCTACAAAAGTTTTGCCGTGCCTGGGAATGCATCGACTAATCTTCATTACAGCTACCAGCGGCCGTGCCGCTACCTTAATAAAGTAGTTTCAGTTTAAATATTGAATTGGCGGCTTCTCAGTGACGTGTAACCGCAGTGTGACGCCACCGGGAGACAGTGACTCGCGGCAGATATGTCGGCTGCTCGTGGTGCACCCAAACAACTATGAGCAACTTCGGCGATTTACGATGCACGCAGGAAGCAGATTTCACAAACAAAGCGGATTTGGGATGACGCATTTGAATACAGTGGGGCTGGTTTGCAGATGCCAAGTGTGGAAAACTTTCAAATCAGAATAAAGTATTTGATACTTGTGTGAAAAGCGTTCACACTGCCCACCAAGGAAGAGAGCATTTTGCGATCCCGCACAATTGTCACGGCTCCTTTAACGCCTAGTTAAGGGATTTCTAGTTCGTCTGGTAGTCACCTAGAGGCGGTTTTCCGCAGCTGGTTTCTGCAATAAAATCTGGATGGTGCCGCAGGCCCCATAACCGTAAGAGGTAGCATAGACTCTACATAACCTTATCACGAAGCAAGATCACTCGAACGTGGCCTTGAGCAGCGCTGCCCAATGTGTCTTCATTCCCGCTGCGTCGTCTGCTCGGTGCCCTCTCGCGTCTGAGCTCGCAGTGGGCAAGGAAACGCTGTGTGCAACCATTTCTCATATCTCACGCAGAAAATAAGGACACCATTGTAGGTCTACATTCATCAGCGGCTGTATACGCGCGATAAGGCCTTCGCGGCATTTCCAAGAAAAGTTGTCCGCGAGTATATACGAAATGATGGTAAGAACAACAGCAGATGCAACAGCTCCGCGAGCTACGAAGAGAGGCCTAAGTCGACGCTATAGTATACTGCTGCGTTGTGAATTTGCCACGGACGTGAAGGACTTCAGCTTTACTGATTCCCGTAGCCGTCGCACAAAGCAGAATGGCGGGAGCACTATATATGGGCCGTTGCGAACTTGTTGGGTTAGCGAATTACTGGCGTTCTCCACAGCCGGTCGCATCAAAAGGTGTAGTACTTTCGGTCTCGTGTTCCTGTTCTGAATAGCATTAACGGAGAGGCATGCATGATAACCTTGAATATGAAAAGCCCCTTGGTGCGCACCGTACAACGGGTAAACATCGTGCACTCTGAGACCACCCATAAATTGAACTGATCGCCACCACACGGCATCGCGCACGTGTATATACGCTATGACGGCTCGCAGTTTAACTAGCAAGTGCTAACAGGCGTGTCACGCGAGTTAACTACAAATGGTTGGTGATGATGATCAGGATGTTCTTGCCCGTGGTGTCCGTGATTGCTGGTGCTATCTCGGAGGCCACTGTTTTGCATTTCGTCATTTACACCTTGCTGCAACTATAGCTTGTGTGACACGGCCCTCTTCACTGGCGCAAGGTCGCTCACGGTCGCGTCACAAATATGACTGCACTCGTGCGCCGCTGCGGAAAAGCGTCTTTACTTCGTCTAGATTGTGCAAGCGTCAGTTACTATAGATGGTGGCTACCATGCTATGTATACTCACTAAGTCTACATATTGATTATTCGAATATGGTTCCTGGGAAAGACGCTGAGTTCACACGTCTATTTGTCGTCCAAGTTTCAGGACATCAGTATAAAGCTAATGCAAGCTTCAGTTTGAAGCCGCCGAACTACAGACAAACGACGACGAGCTGATAGATTCGAGGTCGACGAAGACCGCTTTCGGTGGAGCGGCCATCTGTACTGGCTGCCCGCCTCTGTGTGTATATCGCTTACCGTTGTGCGCTCCACAATCTCATGCTTTGCAGGTTTAGACCGGCTGCAAGAAATACTGGCCGCTTTGCCCACCGACTATCCGTTGGAGGTGCAGCACGTGCGGCGAATACGCGGGGAGAAGGCCGCCTTCGAATTCCTCCAGGAGCGCGAGAACGAGCAGTGGGACGTGGACAAGTTCGTGCTGCTCGACTGCAACCTGGAGACGGCCCGGCGGATCGTGCAGTACGCGTACGGCAAGCGGCGAGCCTACTACACCTTCCTCTACGCACGATACGTGAGCGAACCCTCGTTGCGTGGATGACTTTTGCGGGCCGTCACCAAAGTCTTTTTTTTACTTTACTTATAATTATAAGCTGGCTTCACACTTTATCGGTCTCGTCAGAGTGCATGCAGTTTCCGACTGCTTCTCTTTTACCCCGAAGAACTGAGAGAAATAAACTGGAACAAGACACACGCACAAATGCACACTAACTTTATGTTTATTGATGAAAACGCAGATATATGGAACAAGATAAGAAAACCACGTGTACGATTACAGTTTTGCAGTTTGATCATTTATCTCTCATTTGTGCAACGTCACCGATAGCCTAGCAACACATATTGTCATACATATGAATAAAAACCTCCTAAACTATTTGTTGTGCCGTTGTAATATTATTATCTGAGGTTTCACATCCCAAAATCACGATATGATTATGAGAGAAGCCGTAGTGCAGGGCTCCGGAAATTTTGACCATCCGGTGTGTTTTAACGTGCACTGACATCACACAGTACGGGGGCCTCCACCGCTTGGCCCGCATTAAAATGCGATCGCCGGGATTGAGCCCGCGACCTTCGTCGTCAGCAGCCGAGCACCCAACCACTACACCACCGCGGCGGACAGATCCTTTCTTTCGCGCAGCAACGCTTGACCCTTTACGATGCAAACACAAATTCGATGACGGCTGAGCCTTCAGTGATCCCCCTAATCTATTTAACGACTGTTCAAGCACTTCCGCATTTCTGTCACGTATAGCGGTTGCCGTAAGACAAGGGGATCAAATTATACAGTCCCCTACCTACCCTCAACCAACGCCATCCGGTTGTAAACTTCACGTTCTCTCCACTTGTTTTAAATGCGAAGCATTGCTTAGCGAACTTCGGCGACTTTCAGCGTATCTATCTATCTATCTATCTATCTATCTATCTATCTATCTATCTATCTATCTATCTATCTATCTATCTATCTATCTATCTATCTATCTATCTATCCATCTATCTATCTATCTATCTATCTATCTATCTATCTATCTATCCATCTATCTATCAGCCGCCTTTAGCTCTCCTGGGTGTTTCGATAATGGTATCGATACGAAACTTGCTATGACATAACATGACTGTATGAACATATTTGTCTAGTGATAACATGAAAATCATGACATGTATGGCACGAATGTCATAATTTACATTTCTTGGTCTTGCAGCTCTTGCTGTGGTTTCGTTCACATGGCATCTTGCGAAAACTAGTATGCTATGACATGATTGCATGTCAAACACAAGTTACAGACCCTAACATGAAAATCATGACATGTATGTCATGTAACAACATGACTACATGCCACGCTCATGATGCGCTGCCGGCCGTTTCGCTAGCTTCACTTATACCAACTTTGGCATTACTAAACGTGAATGGATGACGAAGGTATGATACTGGTGCAAACATGATAAACATGAGATTCGTGTCATGTAACAACATGACTACATGCGATGCTCATGATGTGCTCGCGGCCGTTTCTCTATCTTCGCATATGCCAAATTTGGTATTACATGACGCCAATGGGTGATGAAAGTATGTGACTGGTGCAAACATAATTATCATGAGATGTGTGTCATGTGAGAACATGACTACATGCCACCGTGAAGGCGCCAATACATTTCGACATGACACGGTGCGCGTGCTCGCCGGCGTTCATTTCGTCGCGTCACGCTGACGTTGCCACGCTAGGCGCCGGTCCTGCCATATACTCGCAGGTGCGCGCCGCGTTTCTTTGCTTTACGCGTGCGCGTTTCAACGCGTCCGGCGTCCCTCCGTCACGAAAAGAGGGAGATGCAGTGTTGTCTGGGTAACACATTGGTGCGAAATGCAGCATGTCGCATTTCGCGCCGGTTGCCGCGGGGCCGCGCCGACAGACGCTGGTCGCGCCTGGCGTCCGACTATAGAGTGCTCGCGTTTTGTTTGCGTAGTGTTGCTGTGCCCAGCGTGCGCGCGTGTCAACGCTACGTTAGAGTATATTGGGCCCTTCATGATGCGCTCACGGCCTCTTTGCTAGCTCCACATATACCAAATTTGGTGTTACGTGACGTCAGTGGATGACGAAATATATTACTCGTTCAAGCATGATGATCCTGCTACGCGTGTCATGTAAGAACATGACAATATACCACACTCATAGCATGCTCGAGGCCGTTTCGCTAGCTCCCGGTATACTAAATTTGGTATCACGTGACGTGAATAGATGACGAATGTATACGACACATCTAAACGGGATAAACATGACACGGAAATTATGTACGGCATCATTTACCTCCATCTCGTAACGTTGTGCTGATTTTAAAGTGACATATCAACATTTCTCACTCATGCTTCGCATATCATCGATTCGTGCTGTACGCGGGATCTGCCAATTTTTTTCCTTTTTCTCATTTTTTTCTTTTTTCTGTCTTAGCCGTTCTTTTGCTTCTCTCATTTTTTTCGCTCGGAATAATATAAATGTAAGCGCGAACAGAATGTACCCTCATTCTCGATGAAGACCAGACTCTCGACGAAACTGTCAAAATAAACGCTTCCATTTTTACCATTCTCATGGAGGATCTACTTGACTATTCGCAACGCTACTGCCACTTTCGCCATCATTTCCATATTTATTAATACATACATATAATGCTGGTTCTTAATGTTTTTTATCCTTAACGCAAAGCAGAAATGATAGCCGTCCTCAAGTAGTGGTGAATACAACGCCGTCGTTTATTCGTTATTTCAATAAAATAGATGTGATATATCGCAGCAGAACTAAATGATATGTGGAGGGAGGCGAACAAAATGATCCGCGGGCTGTCTGCGGCTTAAAACGTTGCGATTAAACTTCAAATAATAAATTATAGGCGCTTATTTGATATTAACATAAGCTGAGAATGTTGACGACGTGGTGGTGTTAAAAAGATTGTTTTGCAAAAATTTCGGCGTTGGTGTCTTGTCGTTGGTTGTAAGCGAAAAAGCATTGTCCTGTCCGTGATTTGAAAAGGTTGCAATTAAGATAAATATTGAAAATTTCTAGGTCTGAGTGAGAATGGAGCCCAGGCTGCTTGCGTGATACGCAGATGTTCTGCCACACAGCACCGCGTCTGCTTCGAAGTACAATGCAAATAGCTTCCTCTGCTTAGAAATGCCGTGAAGATAATTTTCGTACTTTATAAACACACGCCTCCTGTATACAGGCTTCACAATACAACATGTAATGTCGGAGTACTAACGTGCATTGGTGTCGAGCGTCAGAACATATGATTATCATGACGACTTCGCCGTTTAAAAATGATCACCCACTACAAACGGTCCAGAGGCTACTGCACTTATCCCCGTACATAGCAAGTACGCAAATATTTTACACGCATAGTTGCTCGTGTTAAACCATGCCAACCATTACGCAGAATGCAGCCTTAAGGCCGTTTCACATGCCGCGATTGCAGTAAAAAAAACATCGTTCTGTTCGGTCGATCATGAGCCATTTCGTTGAGAACTGACCCGCCGTGACGATCAATCAGCCACCGAAGAGCTGGGCCCAGACGTGCCGTTTAATGACCCACTACTCACCTTCCATGAAATTACCTCCCACTACCGACACAACAGAAGCCGATACCCTTTACCCCATTCAAAACTCGAACGCGCGCAAGAAGTAGCCTTTAGAATGTTACAAACGAGATCGTACCCATCACGGGGCCGACTCAGCCATTATAACTCAGACATAAATTCACAGTGCCCAGATTGCACAGAAGTGTACTGTTCACTCGCGCACATGCTCTGGCAATGTCCCGCGTTACCTCAGGGACCTCTCACCAGTGAGTCCGACTGGGAGGAGGCACTCAGGAGCCCCAATCTCCGAAACCAACTTAAGGCAGTCCAGAGGGCCCAAGAACTGGCGGAACGCCACCACGTTCCAGCCCCGACTCGGGCGTCGCCTACGGTAGCGGCTGCTAGGATGTCCCACGTGGGCACCCTGGTGGCTTAAACTCCTCAGGACCATATATTAAAGTTCTTGACTGACTGACTTCTGTTCGGTCTATTCACTCTGTTCGAAACTGCTGCTAATGGTGGTTTCGTTTCACATAGACCGCGAACCGGTCCGTGATTTGTGCTCTGCGACTGGAGCGGCGAGTTTTAGCCACCCTTCTTTCTGGCAGACACCGCAGAATTTTCCGAACGTAATGTAATGATTTGTGCATTATTATATCATTAAGTCTCTATAAGCGGTAACGGAGGACCCGCGTGTTTCGACGTTTAAGAACACTTCTTAATCTAAATTAATTTTAAAATGCACAGCATCGGCCATTACTAAAACAAACACGTCAACGCTATTTCAATGGCTTAGCCGGCCCAGCTCTATTTCGACGGGTCCCGACCAAAAATCACTCCCGCCGTTGCGACCAGAACGAAAATTTCCAACATGTTGAAAGCTCGCCAGCGGACCGCTGCGGCGTGAGTGAACTGGCCTTTTTTTTTCGCTGCGAGCGAATTCGCACACTGAAAATCGCTACTTTTTGTGTCATGTTAAACTACTTTTATGCAGAAGCTTCGGCGACACGAGCCACTTTAAACGTTTTTCGACTACATTGTAGTGATTCACAATTTGAACATCCCGAGTAACATCACACAATAAAAAGTATGCACTAGGTGACTGAAGTACGCATGCACTAGGGACAGAATATTGCTATCACGTCCAACTCTAAAGGCGAAGCTTAAAGATCACAAAGCTTTTGGTGCTTACGTTTGATTTCACAGTTAAATATCAGGTTGTTGTAACCGCACGATTTCTGCCCAATCCGTTATTGAGGTAAGAGACACACAGGTCATTAAAGCAATTTTACAGTTATCGCTGTTTCACTCCAATGTTCCCGCTGCAGACACTACCCGATGACTGGAAGGACACCCAAGTGTACGATCAAAGCAAAGTCATCGCACTGCGCATTCTGAAAGAGGACGCCGATGCCCACCACAGCGCCGTGAGGGCGGCCAGCAGGGAATCGTATTACAGCTCTTCTGAAAGCATAACGGTGAGCTACCCCTAAAGGCTGTACCGTATTTGGTAATCCCTTGTGTGACAAGACCATGAACAAGATTTAGGATCATGTACGCGTAACGCCATCTTTCGTCGGCAACAGTCCTGCCGTGACTGAACGAAAAAAAAAAGGTAAGATCTGACGGAAAAAACGAGTTACCAAAAACGACTCCCGATTATACGCAGCAGAGAGCCATTGAAACATTCTGATCAAATTGCACTCTCCCACCGCAAACCACGTTGCTTCTCAGAGTACTTGTATCACAATGGAGCCCATGCTCAGTTTGCTAAAATTAACTATAGGGGACTGTGGTGCTGCGATTATTAAGTCACCATGGGAACGATGAGTAGTGCACAGATTTGCCTAGACGTCGTGCTTGCAGGCTTCGAATGCACTTGTGGCTTCGTTTATTGCTGCGTTTGAGTATTCTTTCAAAGAAAAAACGGACCATGGTGAACTTTGTGAGCCAATTAGAATTGGTGAGCCTAAAAGGTCAAAATAATGAAGTGTAACTGCTGAATTACTGCTGAACTTCGCCTTGCGGCAAAGCGAATTCAGGCCCCAAGAAGCCAAACGCAGCCAGAAGAACGAGGACTATAGGCAAATTTGTGTACTACCCATCATTCTCATGCTGACTGAAGTGCCTTGTGTTGCAGCTTCTATAGACACTAGCGCCAGAGTTACCTCTAGTAATTATCGCATGAAACTCTATGGTCCCATGTGTTTCCCATGGGCCACATACAATTGTCCTGGGAAGCCACACACTTTGTAGCGCGATATTTCAGCAAAATGCTCTGGTTGGTCTCCTCTGAATATAAGCGGGCTAGACAAGTCAAAAAGCTAAAGACCAGCACTACTGTAATTGATCATGGTGCCATAAAATTTGCGCAGCATTGACTTGAAAATACTTCACATTTCAGTGACAAACAACGTCCCCGCTACCTATTTAGTATGAACCAATTGTTCCAACTAGCAGACCTTGCAAATTTTCACAGCGACAATTCTGCGAAGCTGAAAAGTGTGCTAAGAAGGTCATGACGCCATGCTAACGTACAGTGGCGCTAAAGTTGGTAGTAAAATCTGAAAACAAAAAATGCTTTCAGTTTGCTTCGACGAACCATTTGTCGCGAAGTAAGTGCATACCAGAGCGATCTAACTTGGTGACGTCGATTCCTTTCGCAGGAAGAAGAGGCCCTAGCGTACGACGCGGCACTTGTGGTAAGCGACACGCTGACGCGACTGTCGCGCGAGCGGCCCGAGGTGGGCATCGAGCTCTTCCAGGACGCCACCTCAGGCCAGAGCTCACAGTGCTACAGCTCACCGCTCGTGCCCTACAAGCATGGACAAGCCATCATTGAGCTCCTGAAAAAGGTCAGCTTTTGCTGCAGCACGAACAAAATTGGTCTTGCAAAAGCTGAGAGCCGACGTCATCTACCATATAGATGATGTCATATACATGTTGTCCATTTGTACAACAAACTAACGCCGGCATACTATAGTTAGCAATATATCAGCCTGAAAAATTGCTTGTTGAGTTTCGACTTCTGTGTTTGTGCCACACATCGGCACACATTAGGTAAGTAAAACTTATAGACAGCGTCCTGCAGTAATTTTTTTACTGCTACTTGTAGCAAATTTTTATGAGAGTTTAATTTCCCCACATTCATTTAATTCTCAAACGATAGCTATCAATGATTGGCTTGCGTTTATTGAATCTGAGGTAGGCAATCGTTGAACGTTAGGCGAAGTATTTTAAAACGTTTTTTTTTTTCAACATGGATGATGTAAGGACCTAAATGAAGTTCCAGGGTAGAGTAGCCTGTGACCAATGCACACGATTTGAAATTCACTTACTTTTTGCTCCATTCAATTTTAGGCGGTTGGCTTCGCATCGTTCATCGAACTTCAGGCAAAGCATTCGTGCCTCGGTTCGAATGCTGAATAGATATTTTTCATTGAGAACACTGCACTGTTATCGGCGTAAATTATTTTTTCTTATGCTGCTATTATAAAAAAGGAAAACAACAGGACCTGATGTATGTCCTTGTTGTACTCCAGAAGCAATGTGCGTCAAGTGTGATTTGCATGAGCCTACCGTGATGTTTAGAGATATTCCGTCTGAATAAGAACTAAAAATTTGTGACGCAAAGCTCCAAAATTCATATTGTATTATGTCATTACAATATATTGGCATGTATTGTCATGTAATGACACGTTTTGTTATATATTATGAAGCAGGACTACTTCTTCTGAACTGCGGTTTTTTCTGAATCCTATCTGAGTTTGAGGACAAAGTTTTTGCTGACGCTATCAATGCGACCATTCGCAACCATAGAAATATTGCGGGTGGCTTGTACTAGGGGTACAAGGATGTACTGACAGTGGAGCCAGTGGCCGACCAAGTTTCTAGGGGCTTCTACGAGCTTCACTAAGTCATTGTTATGTTTGGCTAGGCATTCGAAGGCTCGACTATGTGGAGCTAGAACTGCAATATTGCTTGGCGAGGTGTCATGGTAACTACTTGATGTGAATAATTAATTAGTATGTTGTTTATCAGCTCAGTCTTAGCCAGCAATGCGCTCATTAGAAGGCACAGAGAAAGCAATATTTACAAGGTGAAACTCCCGTTTGAACAGGCGTCCGCAGGCGTCCAGATAACGTCACATAAAATAAAAAAAATAACATGCTCCGACGGGAACATTCCAGTTGGTGGCGCGAAAAAAAGAAAAGGAAACGCAACGCGCTCCGCGTCCCCGCTCAGTGAATGCCGTGAAACGCGAGGCACGCGCGCGACCATTACTCTTGGAAACCGAAACGACCGCAATTCTCTTTTCTGCCGCAAGACGCCACCAGCATGAGTTGGCCCTCCGGCAATGTGACATCATCTGGTCGCCTCAAGGAGCAGAGTTGCACATCCTTAATGCTTCTTTCTCCATGTTAGAACATCGCCAGTAAAATTATATTTCAATTACCATAGTCCTAATTAGCGAGATACTAATGAGGAATGTTTTTTTGAACAATAATTGACCTTACCTAACTGTCTTAAAGGTCTCCTAAACCCCATACGATATTTTCCCAAACATTTCAAGTAAAGAAGCGCATCGCGTGCAGAATGCCGTCGCGATCAGCGATGCCACACGCCGCAGCACTACAGGTAGCGGGCGCGCCACGATTTCGAAAAAATAATAGCTTCTCGTTTCCGGTCCCCGATACTTCCGCCACTGATATGTGTGACATCACCGGTGAAACTTGATGACGTCATTACTTTCGATGCTTGCAATTGGCCGAACGACAACCGACGACTTCCGGTCACTCTGCAAACAGCTAGCGCGCGCCTTGCTGTTCTTGGTCGTGTTGCCGCTAGCGAATCAATTTCTGCGGCCCGTAACGACACCACGAAGTCGCTAGCGTAGGGGCATGGGCCAGCATGACAGCAACAGCGGTTATTCAACGATCAGTGCACCCAGATAACTGTGTTGATGACGCCCCAGCTCACTGTCAACACAGTTGACGGCGAGCTGGGGCGTTGCAGTGACGAATCTCTGCAACCAGAAGTAGACGCTGTCTCGAATAGCGCGTCAGCAGTGACGTATGCCTCGCGAGATCACGAGGGACATTCAGCTGACTCATCGAAGAGGAGCCAAGCGGTTTTGGAAGAGGGTAGTGTAGGAAAGAGGAAAGAAGCGATCGTCGCGTTTCGCTCATCTAACGAGAATAACTCTGCTATTACGTCACCGTTTCGAAAAATTCTCACGGCTACGTGTTCATTGTAAGCTCGAGCACAACTTCCTCGCCTCAACTAAATTTCGACCACTACGTGGTTTAGGGGCCCTTTAAAAAGAAGACGACGAAGAGAGGTATTTTCCCGCCAAGCAACGTGCTAGAAGGTAAAAGTCCATTATAGTGATGATGGGCTTTTTCACTCTCAACGACCTTACTCCTAGTTGAAGAGCACTGTCGCTAAAAGCTGGCAGAGCCAACACGGGTGGGGTAGTTTGAAAGGCAGCTTCCGTATTCTTCTTTTTTGTCATAGTTAACACTAAATATACGCATACTGGTTGTGATAACTTCACTTGAAGTGTATCTTTTAAATGTGCGTAATCACGGGGGCGATAATCCCAAGCGTGTACTTAACAGGCTTAATTACTAATCAAACAGCGTAACAATTATGGCTGTTCTTCAGCCCACAAGACGAATTGCCACCTCAGAAATGGAAGTAAGCTCACAAACAAGGAGTTCATCTTTTTGGCCCCCGAGAAACGTAAAAGATTTTTATCTATAAAAAGTTCACTGAGGCTCTTCACAAGGTTCCATTTTTGCAAAATGCTATCAATCATCATACAGTTGCCAGTGTCTGATATTAGCTTTTTGTTTCACGTGTTACTTATTTTTTTCAGATGACGTCTTTTTCTCGTTAAAAACCATCATGGAAAAATCTTTTGAAATCTACAATGGATGTAGATATGACCTTCCTCAATTTGATTTTAGAACATTGAACTCTCACAAGTTTTCCTTCTTGCGAGTCTTGAGGAAGCCCTCAATGTGTAAGACCATGGTATTCTGCCAGTTGCATCACCGCGTGTAGAAACTTGGAGACGTTATGAGCCAAACGTGATGAGAATAACGTTCGGTGACTCCACCTTCCCGCACAGGAATAGTATTGCTTCTCTACTTGCGGAGCCATAAGCAGTTGCACTTCGGTCATCTGGGCGGAGTATTTCCTGTCTTTAGAAGTCGTATTTGAATACGGTTGCTATTAACAGAACACAATCGACCTGGATAGGTCATGTCATGAGGACAGATAATCGTTGGTCAGTTGAAACAACAGTGTGGAATTAGTGGATATCAAAATAAGGCTGAGGGAAGCAACATTTCACGTGAAGCGATGAAATCAATTTTTTCGCGACCGCCGAAGATTATAATCGTCATCAGATTTCCTAACAAAATGAACGATGATGACTGTGCTCGTCATCAACAAAAACTAGAACCACCGGTAATCAATGAACAGAACACTCACCATACTTCTGTTTTTGGCGCTAGATAACCATACCGGTCCATAAATGGACACTCGTGTCTCGGCTTTAATTTCATTGCTAATTTTAATTGTATTGTCATGTGCTGAAGTTACCTTCAAACTGTCTTTTTGCACACAATCAGTGGAATAAGACCACCCCCTTTTCATTAAAAAAAGCTCTACAAACCAAGCGGGGGAAAATTCGGTAATTTTGGCACGTTCTAATCTTTTATTTCGGTCGCCAAAGTGTTAAAGAATATGGAGACATAGGTTAGATCCAGCTCGCACGGGAAAAGGTTGGTTGGAGTTTATTGAGTGGAGCCTCCGTCCCGCAGCAGACATATAGGCTGACGGTAATGATGGCAGTGATCAAGATTATTCAAACACCTTGATATACTTACGCGCTATCACACCGCTGCTAACCAATGCATTTGTTATGATGCAGACCTCTGTCAACGGCACCACTGGACAGATTATGTTCGACGAACAAGGTCAGCGTGTCGGCTACACAGTGGACGTCATGGAACTCACAGCACGACAGAAGATGCAGAAGGTGCTTGTTGTTATAACTATTAGTGTGCTGGGCATAAGATTCAAGAGGGAGAGCACTTGAAGGGCTCTCAGTGTGCACGACCTCACTGATTCCAAGGTATTTTTATTTGATATGTGGGGTTTAATGTCCCAAAATTACCATTATGAGAGACGCCGTAGTGGAAGGCTCCGGAAATTTCGACCACCTGGGGTTCTTTAGTGTTCACCCAAATCTGAGCACACGGGCTCCGAGGTATTCTTATGACCTCGTGGTAATATTGGGTCAAGAAGTGCATTACTAATTATTCAGGGCTAAGCTAAGTTAGGTTAGTGCTTACACAAACAGCAATAGGCATATGTTGGTAAATGACTCACAGTTTGCTTCTGAGTGAATGAGTGAGTCTGTGTGTGTGTGAGAGAGAAAATGAGTGAGTGCCTGTATGTGTGTGTGCTTGTGTGTGTGTGAGAGAGAGAGAGTGAAGGAGTGAGTGAGTCTTCCATTTTAAACCACGCTGTCTGCCAATGATAAAGAAAGAGTAAGGAAGAAACATGCGGAAGAACAGGGAGGTTAGCGAGGTCTTAGACTGGCTGGCTATGCTGTGCTTCTTTTCAATGTAAATCTGGGCGCTGACGGATGATTTGCCTGCACCCTTATCGAAGGGCAACACGTCTCCAAAGTGACAGCAAATGACAATTTATCTCCCGAATCCAAATTGATCGACCTTCTGCATAACACTTGCCTACTCTTTTTGCTCTAATATTTTCAACTTATTTTTATGTTTCTTCCCGCCATGCACAATGAGAGCACACTGTTCATTTTCGTACATGTTTTTTTCCGATCTCCAACCTCTCGCGCGTGAAACAGGCGCTGCGTATCAGGCTGTATCAAGGCTAGAATGGCATTCGAAGCAATGAGCATCCCATTTTAAAGGAATTGTAAAGCACAGTACCGATGAATGAGTGAGTTACATATTCATGACGCCAAAGATTTTAGCTTGCATTAGGCACCACAGCGCCACCCTTTTTTGTTGTTGTAAGTGTAATTGTTTCTTTTTTTTTTTGTAAACTGCATGAAAATGGTCTGTGTTAGCTTGAGAATGTCCTACATAGTAACGGGCTTCATTCGTTTTGTCTGTGTAGATCGGCTATTGGTCCCAAGCAACTGGTTTTATAAAACAGCCGGACCCCAGGGGATATCCACCGACGTGGTCTGAACCAACCGAGAAGAGGCTTGTGATCACGAGTATACTGGTGAGTGTCCACAAAGCAGAGCGATGAGCAAAACTTCTGGAGTACAAATACGCAGGAGCCGCCCTTCCTTATGTACAAGAATGCCAATGACACCAGCAATGAAGAGGACAACCTCGAAGGCTATTGCAAGGACCTTATCGCCAAGTTGATGCGTGCAATGGGCCGAGAGTACAGCATTCACCTAGTAAAGGACAACAAATACGGCACTCGGGACAAGTCAGCGCAGTCTGGATGGAATGGCATGATTGGTGAAATCTTAAGAAAGGTAAATGTTCGAATACTAACACTTTCGAAAACGAGCGCAGACAAAAAATTTATGAGCCTTAATAACGTCTTTAATCATAAAAGGCAGTTTTTATCTCTGCAGGTTGAACGCCAAACGGTGTCAAACGTTCTCAGTGCAATTTTTTTATTTACTGACTCTATAAAAGAACCAATTATCAATCCACTGTGTTCGTGAGGTTCTCTTATAGCTTCAACGACACTACAGCAAAATATAGAAGTGTTTTATGCTTGAAATACAAAATAAAACATCAAAATGCAGCAAAATAGTTTAATAGTGATGCTTTATGCGAAATTTCGTAAAAACAAAAGAAATATTATAACCGGCAAAAAGTGCGAGTTTGAGCTACGAGAAAGCCCGTGGCGTTCTTTCAGTCTCTGCTTGTTTCTTCTCAGTTGTAACCTGGCGAAAATTTTTTCAAGTAAGAAAGTACCAACTGGTTCAAATAACTTAACCCGGTGTCACAAGGGCACTTTTAATCGCGATCAGGCTGATCCAAATCGGTTTTCTTGATCGCGGTCAACAGTATGGCCACTGCTACACGGCTCAAGCTAATCCGGTTTAAGCTTGGGTCAAATGAAATTCACCAGGTGGCGCTTGCGTGCAGTAAAACATGGTTCCACGGCTTACATGGTTTCAGGGCTTACGTTGGGGACTCAGTGGTGTGAATTAAAGTAAAAAGTGCAATCACAAATGGATGTAAATCAAAGGACTGTGGCACACCTCGCGTTGGGCGCTCATGGGAAGTCGACGAAAGATGCTGTAAAGGGGGATATGGGATGGACTGGCTTTAAAGTAAGGGAAGCTCAGAGTAAAATGCCCTTTGAAGAGAGGCTTGGGAATATGAATGATAGTAGATGGGCCGGGAAAGTGTTGAGGTATTTGTATAGGAAGAGCGTGGACACAAAGTGGAGAAAAAGAACTAGGAGGTTCACCGGTAAATATATGGCTGGCAGTGTGGGCGATATAGCAACATGGAGCATTAAGCAAAAGTCACAGAGGCGGAGAGCATTTATTTGATGACAGCGATGAAAAAGAAGCCGGCTCTCAGTAAAAGGACAAAAACGAAATACGGCGGGAGAGGTTTTAATAAAATTCAAGGGGAACCGCTTTCCTCTTCGAAACGAGGTCGGGTTGCCTTAAAAAAACGTGGTCATAAAGCAAGATTCAATAAAGGGGAAGAACAATTTACATGCTTTGGGGGGCTAAGTAAATGATAGAACATGTTCTGATTGAATGCGGACATATCCACCCAGGTGGACGTGTGGGTACAAGCTCACATTAGGTTTTGGAGGTTTATGGACAAACACGTAATGCTGAAAACGTGCGCGATAGAAGCACGTAAAAGGCGGTGAGAGTACTTGTGGCAGAAAAGTGAAGATAAAGACAGAAATAGTGGGAAAATGAGGTCAGTCGGCCTGGAGAGGCTGATATGGAACATAATTTTTTTTGGTATAATAAAATCAAATAATTGAAGTAGATAAGACATTAGGCCAACATAAAATGAAGTTTTCATTTTTTTGCAAGTCTGGTGGCACACGTGTGACCGCCCCGTTATAAAGACTATGCTCGTAGCATTCATCCATCCACAGGCCATTTACAAAAGTCATTTGTATAAAGCCCTTCACCAAAAATGTTATTGGTGCAAGAACCGCTCAAACATCGAAACCTTGCGTGCCACTACACTATATTAGCATTCGATAGAGTATTCCCTTCTCTCACCTGTATTGCAGCGTGAGATCATCTGAACTTTTGCGTCCGATGGCAACCGCTCGAAGCTTTCTACTCACAGCGAAGTGGCAATTTTGTTGTACACGCCTGAGTTTTACTTCTGGCAGGTGTCCTATTCACTCCTGCCCACGGTAAATTACCGTGAAGGTCTCTTCATTTGACCACAAAGTGCGCGCATGCTGCGACGTAGTCGAAAATCTGGCGACACTCCTAATCAGTTTACTTCGAGGTGCTCCAACTTCTCCGACGGTGCGAGAGCTGAACTAAGCGCGAAAGACAACGGTCGTCTGCTTATCGTCTGCTACTCCCATAACTATCTGCACGAATCCTTAAATATACAATATTTCAGATATTGTTCCGATATAAACAGTTTACAAAAAATGTGGCTTTTTAGAAGAAAAAAATTGTGGCTGTTTAAATGTGTTTTTATTTCAGTACGCTCGATTTTCTGTTTATTGTACTTTCAAGAAGCTCTGCCAGGGGGCGCAGACGACAGCGAAATTGCGATCTCCCAGCTGAATAGCGATGCACGGTCGCAATAGTCTCGATCCTAATCAGGCCTAATCACGATGAAAAGTGACCGTGTAGCAGTACCTAATCCAGATCGGGGCTAATCCGGATCGGGGCTAATCCGGTTCGGGGCTAATCCGGATCGGGGCTAATCTGGATCGGGACTGATCGCAAGTCAAAATGCTCGTGTGACACCGGTATTACTTTCTACACTGGAACTTTTTGCACCCGCCATGACACGTTCACATATATATCTTTTTACTTCTACCATCCAAGCCTCGAATTTATTTCCCGGAAGTGTCTGCTCCTTACCACTAGGAGAACTTCTGGAAGCGTGAACATGAAGGTTTATCTGTTGCATTTTTCTTATTTTCCCACACCTGCAACAACTTCATTAAGGCTGCATGCAGTATAAAAACTAAAATAATCAAAAATGAAAAAAAAATGCGCAGGAAGCAGACATTGCCGTGGCACCACTAACCATTACGGCTGAGCGAAGCCGTGCAGTGTACTTCAGCGAACCGTTCATGAAGTCTGGCCTGGCGGTGCTTGCACGGCGGCCCGAGGCAGAATCGCTCAGCGTCTTCAGCTTGTTCAGCTTCTTGCGGCCTCTTTCCTGGGAGGTGTGGCTGTGCCTGCTTTCTGCCTACGTGGCTGTTGCTGTGCTACTGTTCGTCATCAACAGACTCAACTTGGCTGTGGCCACACCCCCCAAGGAACCACCTGGATCGTGCAGCCACTTGTACAACAGCCTATGGTATGCCCTCGGGGCATTCATGTCCGAGGAGTGCAACAACTGCAGGCCCAAGTACGTTGCCATCATCCCCCTCTTAGTCTATGTTACGTGCTTTGTGCATAAAAGCTTAGATCAGTGCTTCTGAGCCATCAATGTTTTGGAGACACCTTGTGGACTGGTGAAAGAACCTGTCGCAGCGAGAAAAAATTGGCCTGGGTGATCAAAAAAGAGTCACAGCTTTGCCGCAAAGGCGAAGCAGTGAATGCAATAGCAACCAATTGGAAGATCACGCGCAGAATGGCAAACAGATGGAAACATGTCCCGTGTTTCTCACGCAGAAAATGCGCGCAAAACGCACTCACATGTACAGATTAACGCGAATAAGCGTCTAAGTTGTTACTTCGCTGTGTATGAAATTCGCGCCCTTTTTCCGAACGGATACTGTGCAGCGAATGCCGTGACCTTTGTGTGCCCGGGAACTACAATAGAATCGGTGCGGTGAAAGCCCAATGCGTAAGATTTTTCCCACCGCGAGATAAGCGCGCGCACACGTGAGCGCACACCCCCACTCACTTCCGCAGGACAAAGTACGCGTGGGAGATGAGAGCATGCGCCGCCGCGTCGTGACGATCTGGAAATCCGCGCTCATTGCGCATCTTGCTGGTAATGCTGAAAACACGAGAGTTCCCCGGAGATGGTCATCGCCAGGGTTAAGTGGTAGATGTAAACGGCTTGCCATTTCATCGTTGGAGGAGCGGCTCCTTCGTGGCTCAGTGGCTATCGCCTCGCACTCACAGGCAAGAGGTCGAATATTCAATTCCGCACGCCGGAGTCTTTTCTGGATTATTTTTCTTTCTTGCGTTTTGAAATATGTAGGTACATATACATCAACGGTAAATGATGGTGATGCTGACACCGGCGTCAAAATCCTGCCGGGAACGTCTATATAATTGATATCGCAATAATTAACACAACATGCAGCGTCAAACGGGGGAAGAGGGCTTTAGTTTCTTCTTGGCAAAGAATGGTCAAACTAAACGGCCCCACCAACCCGGCCTCAACAGACTGTCATAGGTTGTAAGATCTGCAGCTACATTCAGCTTTGGGCCATCTGACAAGCTGAAGATGCCGCCCGGGTCCAAGGACCTCGAGTGGTCACCTGAGGCAGCTCCATCATAGTCGACGGGGAGGGGGAAGGAACAGAGGTTAATCCCCTCTTTCCCCACCTCGCCCGGTGAAAACTGCCGAACATAAAATAAAGTTTATTGCGGTCAGCTAAGGCACTGCCATCATAATCGATGGAGAGTGGGAAGGGACAGGGGTTAATCCCCTTTTCCCCCACTCGCCCGGTAAAACTGCCGGACTCACAATAAAGTTCATTCATTCATTCCTTCATTACATTCAAGTTGTTCCTAACTATGCACTGCTTTTCAAATATACCAGCCTAAAAAAAGCATGCTCGCGTTCATATGTCGCACAAAAGTAAAACGAGAGCTTTGAACTACTCATGAAAAAGGAAAAGCAAAAGCCAGCTCCGCTACTATGCATTTTATTTATGCTTTGAACTATATAAAAAATCGGAAGGAGTCACTGTCAAAGTACATGGTGCCTTCCAAAACCTTCTTTACCACAAAAATTGCTTCGCAGACCCCCATCTCAGAGCCATAGGCTTAGATTTTTTTTATTTCATCTCTTCTGGACCCTTTTCATCCCATTCATTATATTCCTGTACAGCAGTGGTCTCGCAGCCTGCGAGGCTCTCGACTGCGCACCGCGGCCCGCACATGAGTGTCATCACATCACATTGTTATTATCTTCTTAATAAGTATGCTTGTAAGCTACACAAGCATGTTTGGCTTAAGGCTCAGTTATCTTTGTAAGGCGACTCGTAAAGGTGTTCATCTTGTTTTGAAACATAACCGTGAAACAAAACTTATATTTCAGAATCGGCGCCCCAGTTTCACGTGTTTTGTAGAACGCTATCGGCATAATTTTAGAATCATGGCACCAAACTTTTTCAAAAATGACCAATATATGAGATGAAGGAAAAAAGTGTAAACTTAGGGTCTCGCTTTCTTTGCTGGACACCATGTTATTATGTGCCGCTGACCTAAAGGACGAAGAGGACGGTTTGTTTCCTGTTTGCGCCATCTTGTTGCCCCAATCACTTTGATTGTGTAAACACTCTCATTACATCCGTCTTTCACTGTCTCACTGTAACAATATTTATCATCATCATCAACATGACTATTCTCACGGCAGGGCGAAGGCCTCTCCCATGATCCGCCAATCAACTCGGTCTTGTGCTTTCTAGTGCCACATTATACGTGCTAACTTTGGATTCTCAACGCTCCACCTAACTTTCTGTCTCTCCCTCATGCATTAATTCTTGCTAGGAACACAGTCAGTAACCCTTAATGAGCAGTGGTTATCCTGCCTACGCGCTACATGCCCGGCCCATGTCTCTTTCTTCTTGATTTCAGCTATGATATCCTTAACGCCGCTTTTTTTCCCTGATCTACTCTGCTCTATTCTTGTCTCTTAACGCTACACCTATCGTCTTCCTTTCCATCGCTCGCTGCGTCGTCCTCAATTTAAGCTGAACCCTCTTCGCAAGCCTCCAGGTTTCGTTTCTGTAGGTGAGTACCTGCAAAATTCAGCTGTCATATATCTTCTTAAATGGGTCAGTGATAGATTAGCATTAATGACTTGAAAATCCATGCCAAGTTTGACCCGCCCCATCCTTATTCTTCTAGTTATTCCACTCTCAATGTTCGACTACGTGGTTACTATCTGCCCAAAGGAGACATATTCCTTCACAGCTTCCAGCGTCTCTCAACCTATCGCAATGCGATGTTTCCTGTCGAGGCTGTTGCACATTACAGTAGTTTTTGGCATATTGCTACGGTATGAGCCGGGCTGTAGTATGTGCCGGGGAGGTAGAAGAAGAAGACGACGTTGTCTGGTGCGGCCTGGGGACTCCATCTTTAACGCGACTGCCGAACTTCATCCGCACCCTGTAAATAAATCCACCTATCCTTTTATTCAACCGTAACAATATTATTTTACTTACCTACTCTACTAGCTTCCGCGTCAATTTCAGTAATCATGAGCTGTAATTTGTCCCGTGAGTTACTCATGAGGACAGTGTCATCAGCAAATAGCAGGTTACTAAGATACTCTCCATTAACTCGTATCCCTAACTATTTCCAATCTAGGGTCCTGAAAACCTCCTGTAAACACGTGGTGAATAGTGTTGAGAGATCGTGTCTCGTTGCCTATCACCCTTGTTTAGTGAAATTCTGTCGCTTTTCATGGAGAACAGTGGACTGCGGATCCCCCGTAGATTTCTTTCAGTATGTTTAAGTTGGGTTCGTCGATGCCCTGATTCCGCAGTACTTGCATCACTGCTAATGTCTCGACTGATTGAAAATTATTGAGAAAATAATGAGAGCTGACAGACAATGGCGTGATCGTCTGTTAGTCCTGAATATATTGCGTACAACAAAGAAAACAAGTCCTGTAATTAACCCTTCTTTCCTTCATTCATAGCAAGGTCTCATTCTGACAGAATAGATGCCTTCAGGTAAAATTCGAGCGATAATTGGATAGATGCCAGCTCGTAATAAAATCGCTTGCTGCGTGACGCCAACAGTAAAAAAGTGGTCGCACTTGCCGTAATGGCAACAGTCGGCGCTGACTGACGCTCTCATGTTAAAATTGACATATATACTCTATAATAGGGATGGGGAGCTCTGGCGACGCCCTCTTTTGAATGAGCCAACAGTGCGAAAAAGCCAAATCTACCCCTCAGCACGCTGCTTCGCATTGGTTACGATGAAACTAGGCTTAGTGTCAAGGGCGATCGACAAAGCTGGGCGGTGTTTTCGAACCAGAGAAACTCTTTCATTTGTTTGTCCTTACATTGAGTGCAAAAGTACACCCATGCAATAAAGGTGTCAGAAGCTTTTCCTGATGATATTCTAGCAGCGAAGCTCCTTTTAGTCTCACCTTGTCCCACGTCAGGCGTAACGGCCAATATATTCCGAACCGTATAAAATATGGCGCTGTCTCAATGAAAAATATACAAACTGCTATTGAGTGGGGATATTCTATATGGCGCTGTACCGCTACTCTCCGATTGACTGCTGCGTGGTCTGCGCCTGGGTGCGTGGGGAACGAGTGCCTCGTTCAGTCTTCTGGATCGTCGTCGTACGTGTTGAGTCGTTGGTGGGGCATGGACGAAGCGGAGCGGTGGGCGCGGAGGGCAGCTGTGGCTCGGGCTCGTCGCCAGACAGACAGACAGACAGACAGACAGACAGACAGACAGACAGACAGACAGACAGACAGACAGACAGACAGACAGACAGCCAGACAGACAGACAGACAGACAGACAGACGCACACACGGACGGACGGACGTCCGGATGGATGAACGGATGCCTCACTCCACTTATCATCGCTAACTCCGCGGATACGAGTATATAGGCTGTGATTTTTAAAGCCACCAGCTGTTTAAGTTCATTTCGAAGCACGATGGCTTCTGAGATTCGTTCCGGCCGAGCACCTCAGAACAGCTGCGGCCGAGCTCCTCGCGACCGCAGCTCAACCTGGGGCCACGTGTAAATCATCTTGGTCAGCCTGCACATTCTAGAGCGCTGCTCAGCCGGTGCGCGCCCTCTTTGTCATCTTCATAGTCTGTTGGCACACGCGCATGTGCGCCTGGCTAATTAGCTATTTGGCTGAGCGATATACTTAGCGATATATTAGGGCGAGGTCATGCTAAGACCAAGATATTTAGGCCAAGTCGTGGTAAGACAAAACTACCCCACATCCTAATAACGCCATGGTAATCGAGCCATGTAAAACTAGAACTTTGCTATATAAAGTTTACAAGTATGATGACTATCAGGATCGTGCTAATAGGAAATACATTAAATAGCTCTATGCTGCAGATGACTTTGATTATTGCACCCGACATAATTATTGCCGCTTTAATTGAAACATTAACAATTAGGACTGTACAGTGTTATGTTCATTAGGCCTTAGGTAATGAGTATAATCAAATTAAGATAGAGGTGATGTGGCCTCCACTTCGAAGCAGACCAAGCAGATGAGTAGACTACCCAAATGAAAAGCTCGAAGAATCTAAGTTGTTCCAAGCTCCTCTATGGCAGTGCAAGATGACCAAATTATTTTATATGCAAAGATGCTGCTGCTTAGCATACACCGCACCAAACGCTTGACAGTTACACAGGCATCATGACAGTCACGAGTTGAACTAAGGCCTTTTCAGGATCAACGAGTTTGCCCCGCCGCGGTGGTCTAGTGGCTAAGGTACTCGGCTGCTGACCCGCAGGTCGCGGGATCAAATCACGGCTGCGGCGGCTGCATTTCCGATGGAGGCGGAAATGTTGTAGGCCCATGTGCTCAGATTTGGGTGCACGTTAAAGAACCCCAGGTGGTCGAAATTTCCGGAGCCCTCCACTACGGCGTCTCTCATAATCATATGGTGGTTTTGGGACGTTCAACCCCACATATCAAATCAATCAAATCAAGGATCAACGAGTTTGTATCCAAGTTCATGCGTGAATCAGTTTGATTGACAGACGCCCGCGGTTAAGATCGCATCCGCCCACCACTTTTGCTCTTGCCGAAGAGCAGTGCTCACGCCGCAACCCCAACGAGCAGCACAATCAACTATCAGCTTCGTCGTTCAGACTATGCCCACACGCCCGCGGACGTAGAAGTTATATCACAACGGGGCTACTACCTATCGCATTGAATTTCACCACTCTCACGACGTATCTCCTCACAACCGCCATGATGCGTACGCCCCTGGTGGCAACCTGTCTTTATATTTATCTGCAATATTTGATAAAAGCAAAACGTGCAGAATGAAAGTGCTGAATGTGCACCCTTGATGCCTTCGAGGGTGGAAATTTCCATGTTGCAGGTGGAACGAAAGATCTTTCCCGAAAGAAAACAAGCGCGCGTGTTGAGTTGGCAATAAGATAGCCCGACAATTAGGCTGACGGTCCTGAACTGCTGAAATGTTGAATGAGTGGCGGCACCTATGTGTACGCACGCGGTGCCTCTTCGATAACCATCAAAAACACTCAACATGCGTTTGAGACGCCACGCGTGTTCTTGTTGCTATTTCGATCAGCGCTGCTATCATGCGCTCCGCACTGCCGTGATGTGATGGCCGCCGTAGAGCAAGCTTGGAGCAAACTCGTCTGCCCAAGAAGCGCGGCACGTGCTGCATAGCACCCCTAGATGTACAAATTCAATGAAGATAAGAAAAAAAATGTAGTTGAAGTGTACAATATCTGAACGTTTAAGGAAATGGGACACCGAAAATTGTAATCTTGCTCTAACATAACCCTATTGATGCTTTTTCTGGAGTTTTCATAAGGTCAAATTGTTTTATTTTCGTTGAAAATTGTGTACGTGCGAACGAGAAGGCTGATGTTGAAGCTTAAAAAGCCTCGTATAAACCCTAGAACTGTGCGTCACGTTTTCCCGAAGAGACACCAACACCCTACTTCGACAAGTAATGCGCAACTTCATCTTTGAGTACTAAACCAATTGAGAACGCCGGCACAAGCGGCTGCGTAAATGGCACCCAGAAATGTAGTTCCTCACGCCTCTTAAGTTAAATCGAAGCACCGCATGAATGATTCACCACGTTCCTTCCGGTGTGGCATACACAAGACGTTATGCCCACTTGAGTGACTGCAGGGACACAGGTCCTGATGATGGCTACTGTCAGTTGCCATAAACAGTCGAACATTTATCTTTCGCATCTCCAGTGTACGCAAGAGAATGCCAGAAACTAATCTCTTCGAACATCAACCGATGGCATTGTGCTAGATCCCTGGCCTAACGTCAACAGCAAATGCGGTTACAGGAGTTGTAGCATGCTTCCAAGCTACTGGACTGGGTGCCCATGTTTACATTTGCGTAACCGGACATCATTTCCCTATTATCGTCATTTCCCCTCTCTCGCTTCTCCTCAGTGTAGAGTAGCAGCTCAGAGCTAAGTGTAGTCCAGGCCAGCCTTGGCTTGCTTCATTTTTCCACCGACATTGAAAATCATGTACGCGCGTGGCGAAAGCGCGTAGTAGTAAGACCTTCTCTCAGGCAGTATCACATTGACTCTTGTTTCGTTATGTGAAAGCGTGACAAACTTCGATATCTTTACCATTTGTTAAAAATTAAATGTGAGCCTGAATAAGATGTTATACAATATGAATATGATAGGTGTGTTAAAATGATAGGTGTGCTTCAAAAACTGTGAAACTCTTCATGCACTCGAGCAGCCGTAAAATTTTTCAAAATGCAGTTGAAGCGCCCCACCAACTTCCTGCTGATGGATGGAAGAACCTTATAATAGTTCAATAGGTGGCGCTAGTGTCCTAGCCTGAAGCGAGCCGCTGTCACGTCGGGACCGAAAGACCTTTCAGCCACTTCTAAAAATTTAGAGTTCGTTCCTGTACGTTCCCCCATATTTATGGTTGGCCTCGAAGTGGCGGTCTAAACTAAGCTGTAAAGGACAACTGGACGCATGCTATAAAACAGCGAAATTTAATGCAATTTATTACCCCCTCCCCTCTTGCTTCGCATTTATAGTTCATGTAATAGCTCGGAACGTCAAGCTAGTAGAAGTTTGTTGTTAATAAATCATTCAGAATTGTTTACATGCAAATACTGAGTAACACTTTTGCCTGAACGACTGCACACATTAGCGGAGTATTTCTTATTCAAAAAAGGGACACTTCGTCAAACTTGTTTTTAGTTTAGCCCAACAGTCTTTTTCAAATGAAAGAACAGATAATGTGTTGGCAAATGAGAAGTATGTCTCTCCCTCGAACTTGGAAATCATTCAATGAAGCCCTCATGTGACGCCCTTGCACTCACAGGTCTGTCGGCAGCCGACTGATCAGCTTCGGATGGTGGTTCTTCGTGCTGGTCATGCTATCAATGTACACAGCGCAACTGTGGGTGAATCAACCTTTCAAGGCACCTTCTCCTCCAGTGAAAGATCTGAAGGAACTTGCCATGCAAGACAAAATCGAATATGGCATCGTCAAAGATTCTGCCACCCAACAATTCTTTCAGGTAAAGATCCCTCTAGATGCTCCCTTGGGACGCTTATTAATGCTCTCTTCAGATATTTTTTTGTTTTCTGTTTTCTTGGTTTTAAACCCACCCTGCATTATTCCTACCCCGCCTCATGTCTGTATTATTCGAATTAGTAATAGTCATTTGATTACTATGGCACAATCAGCATCCGCCTTAGTAGCTCTGAGGTCGAGGTTGCGGGTTCGCTTTCCGTTAGATGGGGAAAAATGCAAGAACTCAGATGCACTTACGTGAAGGTGCTAAATAAAAATCTCAGGTGGTCAAAATTCGGCAGATATTCTCCGCTGCGGTGTTCTTTTTTGGCAGTTTTTTTTTTTCAAGAGCAGTGTGAACAACTTCGCTCGGCATAAACGATTCGTTGCGAGCATTGTTATGATGGTGAGATAACCTGAACGATGTTGTGCGTATCGCCCCTCAAAATATTGTATTTCCTCAACTTTGTATGTAATTGTTTACCAGTGATGTTGTATGCCCGCTCCCTGTATGGGTCTGCAGAAGACCTACAGTATTATTAAATAAATAAATAAAAATAAATTAAATAATTAATAAAAACTAGAGAATGTCACTATTGACGTGACTGTAGGTCGGGCTAAGCGGATACAAATGCCAGGCCGATTGAGTCAGCTGGAATTGGTTAAGTCTACCGAAGGGTTCGCCACACGTTACATGATTTTTGTTTTTCTCCAAGTATAAGTTTCAATATCATAACGCTTTGTTATGACGTTAATCGTCTGTTGCTATAAATTCATGTGTCACTGCTTGATTTACATTGAATTGGGTTGGTGGTTTGAACTGTGCAAATGGCATGCGGAGAAGTGAAACATAATTTGCTGTCAAACTAATCGTGTCCTTGGTATGAAAGAAGCAGTTCAAGGTTTCAGAAAACAATCATATTTCAACAATACCCTTAAGGTTCCATTGAACAAAGTTTCACAAACATTAGCGTGTGAGCTCCATATATCTCCAGCTGATGGCTCATACACAATACAGGGGGTAGCCAAGTAGGGAGCCGATTATTCTATTAGGCTGAATAATGTTACTCGAGACAAAAGGCCCAACAGCTTCGCTTTGCTGAAAATATTACTACATAGTTATCTTCCATCCTTCCGCACGCCGCGCCTAGCATTCATTCCCAAGGTAGTTGGGATCTGCGAATTTTTCTTTAGAAATGAATGTTTGATTGTATTTCTGTCTCTCCCGATCTGTTGTCCATGAGAGCGCCAACGGCCATGGCCAAAGCCACCTAAAAAATTACAGTATATCCACAGAATGAATGATAATGAGTGGGGCGAAACGTTTGTTTGAGCGTGTGTCCGGACGGAGAGACAGACTGATACATGGATGGAAGCATGGAAAGACAGACGGACGGACGCATGGGTGGACAGACGGATGGAAGCACGAAAGGAAGCATGGAGGAGCGCATACACGGATTGACGGAAGCACCTACGGACAGACAGACGGACGGACGGAAGCATGGACGGACGCACAGACGGACGGGACCACGGGTGAACGGATGTACAAAAGCATGGACGCACGATCCGATGGAAGCATGGACGGGCAGACATATGGACGCATGAACGGAAGCACGAACGGATGGAAGCATGGACGGATAGATGCATAGGTGAACGGATGGATGGACTAATGGACTGGCGGAAGCATGGACGGGCTCAAGGACGGATGGATGGACGGACAGAAGCACGGACACATGGTCGGATGGACGGAAGCACGGATAGATGGATGGACGGGTGAACGAACAGACGCACGGACGATTGGACACACGGACGGACGGATAGACGGACGCACGCTTCGCCCCATTTATCGTCATTCACTCCTTGGATATGCTGTGAAAACCACTAGAGCACTGCACGGGCCGATTTTTCCGGGCCGAGCCCAGCCCGGCCCGAAAACTGCATGCTTCAGCCAGCGTGAGCCCGGCCCACTGTTTCTGAATACAGCCCGTACTCAACTCGGGCCCGAAAAGATGGGCCTGGCCAGTCCCGGCCCGTTTCAGCCGGAATATAGGATAAAACGAGCCACTATCTACTCTGGTTATTCTGGCGATATCTTCCTCACACAAGAAATATTCTAGTGAGTGTTTTGGAACTTCTTTCTGTGTCGGAATGAGAGACAGCGCTACATGCGACCATTGCGACAATGACGAAACAATTGAACATATTTTATGTCAGTGCCCCCAGTACAGCTCTCAACGACAGTCCCTCTCAGCAGTGTTTGCTCGCCTCGACGACCAGCCATTTTCTGAGCAGTCAATCTTGGAATGTCGGAAAGATCGAGCTTCACGCCAGAAAGCAACGAAGGCGCTGATGAAGTTTCTACGAGCGACCCGCCTCGTTGAACGATTGTGACACTACTGAGTGCGAGTGTGTGTGTGTGTGTTTGTGCTTCTCTTCCTCCATTTCCCCTTACCCCTTCCCCAGTGCAGGGTAGCAAACCGGATATGTTTTCTGGTTAACCTCCCTGCCTTTCGCATTAAATTTTCTCTCTCTCTCTCTCTTTCTGTGTCACGACCTTCACTGGTAATGTCTGTGTACTTTCTGTTAATTACACCCGTAACATTTTCGCCAAGTATTTGCAGGACAATACAAAATATAACAAAGGTCATATCTGGCTGCTTTGCACTTCAAAGAACGGCTACAAAACATTCTATTCTCATGACGTAGAAAAAAATGGCAGCATATCCACAGAGTGAATGATGGAGAGTGGGGCGAAGCATCCGTCCGTCCATTCGTTCTTGCTTCCGTCCGTCCATGCCTGCGTCTGTGTGGCTGCCCGTGCGTCCATCCGCCCGTCCGTGTGTGCGTCTGTTCGTGCATCCGCACCTCCATCTGTGTGTCCGTCCCTGCGTTCGTCCATGCATCCGCTCCTGCGTCTGTCCATGCGTCCATCCGTCCGTGCAGCCATCCGTGCGTCCGTCCATGCATCTGTCTGTGTGTCCGTTCGTCCACCTATTCAACACTCCAGGTACCACCATCTCGCATCTTTTCATCATATATTCCTCATATAGAAGCACCGCCCTCCAGCGGACATTCCAAAGACTGAACGAGAGGAGGCACACGCACACTTTCTTACGGCTTGCGCTTCGTGTCTACTTCCCATCTTTAACCACGTCAAGTTCATGGTATATACTAGTTCACTGTATTCATGACGCTCCGGCCCAACGCTCGCTAAACCTTTCTAAAACTAAATAGGTTATGCCCAGCGAGTATAACGTAGCAACCCTTTCTTGTCAGATAGTGCTCAATGTACATGCCAATGGCTGCTAAGGGGGAATGAGAGACAGGAGAATTCGGCTTTTAGTGAACGCGCACGCTGCAAATTTTTTATTGTTCAACAATGCACAGAAGAAATCTCTCACCGGCACCACCTTGGAGGTCAAAATGTAAGACTGGTTACACACTACGACTACTACAACTACGAGAGATGAACGGGTGCCGCTATAAGGAGCTTCGCCCCTAAAAAAAGGCAGACATTCATAGTGTAAGGAATCAGACAGGAGACAGCACCCGTTCGTCGGGTAAGCTGTTCTTTATCTCTCTTTTTGCTTCTGCCTGGTGGTAGCCAAGCCTGATACTCAGTGCCGCTCTTGATCATAGCACTCGGCCATGACTGCGAGCGCTGGAGCTGCCAACAGTACTTCAGGTGGGCGGGGGTGGCTGAATCGTGGTGACCGGCCCGGATCCCACTGTACCATGGATGAGAGATCTGCCAAAAATACCTCTGGAGGACAACATTGGGATGTCGTTGCCATGGTCGACTACCTCTACCACGCTGCAACTTTTCAGAGAGCAGTTTCATTTGCCACTGGTGGATGGTTTAGGCTATGTTGTGGTCGTTCGGGCTTCGCTTCAGTGCTTGCCGATAGTGGATATGACGGTGGACGTTAACTCTGTAGTGGTGGTCAAAATCGGCCACACTGCGACGTTGACTGAAACCCTGTTCGAGGCTGTTTTCGTGGACGGAATTGGCAGTTTGGTGGCACTCGACGCCGCTAGCCACGAATTGACTTCGTATGAATTCTTGGCGACGATTCTGGCGGGTGACTCTGACTACCGTGTTTTGGTCGTAGGTCCATCCCGAAACACTGACGTTTGCCCTGTCACTGGTCTGAAGATTAGACTACATGCTTTATTGTTGCGTGTCGCACAATGTGGCGTCGAGCGTGTTACGTATACGGTGAGTCGAGCTGGTGGCTCCTGTTTAAGTCTCATATGTGCATGACATGTCCCACCAGCAGTCTCACCAGCAGGAGAGTTGGTCGGCAGTAACCTACCGAACACAGCTGCCCCATCGGGCTGGTGCTCCTCAGGTCCTTGAAATACGACAGAGGAAACGTCTGCGCAAGGCTAAGTTGCATGGTTGTGATCGTGCCAATGGCCTTGGTATTCAGGGTATGGCAGGCCAGTTGGGGCCCCACAAAAGTCCTTTAGATAGGGCTTCCCCCGAGCGCCGTCCTGAGGGGAAGTCGAGTTGGATTGGCTGGTAGCACCAGGAATCGGACCGAAAGCAGCTGTGAGCATGGAGCTCCACTCCGCCCATGACTGCTGCTTCACTCCTTCAAGCCGGTGTCACCCAGTGGCACTTTCTAGAAGGGGGTCTAAGGCCACGAACCATTTCTGATGCTCTGTCTAGGATGCACGTGCTGCGGGCGCGTTGACAGTTGCCACCCAGAGAGGCAGCTCTAGCTGCCTCTTTGTAGTCGAGTCCGGTTCCCAGTCTCACTCTTAGTCATCACAATATTTTTAAGCCACGCTTATCATTACTACAAATAAGGTCATGCAAGCTGGGGCTGTTGAGTTAAAGTAATAAGTTCCCCGTCTTCTGCAAACGTCATTTACTATGACATGCTATAAAAAATGCTCCGTCCGGCAAGCCGAAGATGCCGCCCGGTTACAAGAACTTCGAGCGGTCACCTGAAGCACCACCCTCATAATCGACGAATGGTGGGAAGGGGTAGGGTT